TCCCAATCATCACTTCCAGCTAATCCAGCTTTTTTGGATAAATAACGAGTAATAGCTGTGGATTGATTCAATACTTTGCCGTCAATTTCCAACACTGGTACTTTACCAAATGGCATGGCTAAGACACATAAAAWATTCTTAATACTTATGTATATATTATATAATTATCTTACTATATACATATCAAAATCACACAACTATAAACTAATGCAAAACGTCTACCACACCACCAGTATTGCCCTAGCTATGGGCCACAAACGAAGCTAGGGCCTCTGCATTTTATTCAGGATCTCATGAATCTTTTATTTGCTTGTTGTGTCAGGTCTATTGAGGGAATAGAGTCTCCGTAAAGTATTCATGGAAATATTAAATTGCACATATTTTTTAGGCCACTTTTTGTTTACAAGGCCCAGGTCATTCTCAGAATTTTTGGGTATTAGAAGTGCATTATGGAGCATACACTTAATAATTAAGTATTTAACTGAAAATGTTATATATTTAAAGATCAAATTGATTTTCAAATTTTTATAATTGTGAATAGGTAAGCAAAGCGCTAGACTTTTTATCAAAGGGGTGAAGGATGGAGCAAATAATTATGTTTTATACACAGGCTAGGATAATACAATTTAAAAAAAGCACCTAATAAAATCTTTAAATAATTTAGATTTTAAAAACCTTACGTACACAATTATTACCTATTGTAATTAGTGCATATAGTATTTAGTGAAAATATTTGGATATTACAATATAGCAGTTAAAGATATTAAGTACCTACACAYGAAGACGTGTAATTAATAAAAACTTACTAGGCTTGAGTGCAGGCCATTGTTCGCGTTCAAAACGAAAGTCTTCAAAATCAATGTTCAAGTAAGAAAGAAGGAATCTGATGGGTTCAGCCAGAGCAGTGATGTTGAAGTACGTAACTTTGTACGGCATTTTTGAAAATATATTTAATAACGATTTACTTAGCTAAAAAGAAACTTAATATTTTTAAAATTAAAGTACCTATTTGCTATTTATTAATTATTTATACTGTATTATTA